TTTTTCACCAAGTAGCTCAAGTATTTTTAGCCAATGAAAACTACTTGGACGATTTGGAATAAAATTATTTCCACAAAGTTCAACTTGGACGATCATGAGAAATTTTGGCCTTGGTTGGACGATCCTGGGAAATACCCTAATTGCACTTCTATCTCCCCTTGTACCGTAATTCGGTTTCACTTTCACTTGACCACATACGAAGCCCTCTAATCGACCTGGTAGACGCCTTTCATGGCGTTTAGGCCTAGGTTCGTGTGCTTCCTCTAACATAGTTTTAGCAATAGGAGCAGTGTGAGGGAGTTCCATCACAGACTCGTCACTAACTTCATTAACTCTGTCACATTGAAGCATTGCATCATCTGATTCAAATGCTCCCACCGTTTCACACAACGGTAAATTATCCAGGGGTTGTCCGGATAACCTTGAGGACATTTCACTGCTGTGAAAATTGTTCTCCTCAATAACCTTTCTCTTTCCATTTCCCTTAGAGGTTTCTGACATAGTAAGTATTAGATCTCACAGGTTTCGATACGTCTATCGTCCTTTCGTCAAACACGTCTGTTTGAGTGGTCTGGTCCTGCTTAGAGGTAGATACTGGCATGACACCATGCATATCCAGGTCCTTGACCTCCTCAATCTCATTTGTAGTCAGCTCATTCACCTTAACCTTAAATGCCTTCTTCACACACTCAGCTGTGAACACCGAGTCAAACTTCACATCACGAGCTACGATGAATCTATTCTCGTGCTCTTGCCACAGTCGGTAGCCTTTGTAGGTTTCAGACAATCCAAGCAACCGACATTTAATTGCCCTAGCCGAGAGCTTCTTATCAGCTCTGACTTCTTGCGGCATGTCAAGAAGGGGCACTTTGGCCTGTCTTCTTTGGCCTCTTTGGCACATCCGGATTTTATGCCCTCTGGGCAGATTTTTGGCTCCGGCGGCACAAAACACCGGATAAGGATATTATCCGGTGTTCCCTTTGGTTGGCTGTAAGCAGTCGGTTAATCCTCACTTTCAGTTTTGACCCCCGACCACACAAGTGTTCTTTGTGTTCCTCGTGCTCTCGCCCCCTTCCTCAGTGCTACCTCTTTCCTCGTCCTCTTGACAGGTTATGAGCCTCCTTCCCACTCCTTCCCACCTCTGCGCAGCCCTTCGTTGGCACACCACTCGATGAGTCGCGGCCTCTGGCCTACACTCTGTGGAAAACGGACTTCTTGTCCCAGGCGACGACACGTGATCTGCCGGGTTCTACGTCGAGCCCAACCATGTTCCTCGTGGCAACCGGCTCGAAGCTCTCAAGGTCAGCAAGACCTACCTCGAACTCGATGAGATCGACAACTGGGAATTTTATGTTGTGGATATTTCCTTATCTGAGTATGATCGTAATTTGCGTTTGGCGGAAATCAAAGCGCACACAGCAGCCATTCAGGCCAAAGCGATCAACGTTGAGGCGGGCAAGAAGCTCGCAGCTCAGTGCTCTGCCGCGCACACATTCTTAGTGTCTGCCATCTCAGTTAACCTTCGCTGCCTCTACCAGACGAAGGTGTGTCCCTACTCGCTCTTTGAGCTTCTTAAGGTTCGTTTCGAATCTAACCCCATGGACAACAACCCCACCGTCATTGCCAACCACCTCCGAACTCTCAAGTTCACGGAAGAGAGTTGTATCGACACTCTGGCTGTTGAGCTCACTGACCTCGTCAAGCGTTACCGCGTGTCGATGACCCCGCCCTCCTTCAACCTTTTGGACGCGTCGGCCATCTCGTCTATCGACTACGACACCCACATCTGGAACTACCACACTCTGTGTGCCATGTCTGGCACCTTTATCAACGACAAGGAGCTCTGGGAAGTCGTAACGAACTATGTCTCCACTGCGCGAGCCGCCGGTACCCCCGTTGTTGTTGATGACGTTTGGGTGTCCCTCCGTCGTATTCTTACGAATCGGCTTCAACGCGCCTCTGCCCTGGGTGACCACGGCTCTGTCGCCACCATCCAGTCTCGTTCTCAGTTTGCCGCGGTCACGCATGCTGTCGCGGTCCCTGCGCCTCCTCCCACAGCTATCAGCCAGCCTGATGGCTCCTACCATGTCCTTAACGCGTTCACCATCCCGGCCTATGCCCATCATGACTGCGTCAAAATCCCCGGCAAGTCCTGCTTCTACTGTGGCGTTGCTAACCACACCCTCCCCGTGTGCCCGACTCTCAAGTCGGACATTGACCGCAACACCATGCGTGCTGGCTTTGACCGCACAGTCTTTGACAAAAACGGCTCTGCCTCCGCCAAGAAGCGCAAACGCGAACGTCGACTATTCGCCGCGCCCTACCCATCGACGTCGTGACGACCGCGATGATCGCGGAGGGCCAAGTGGCCAGGGTGGTTTCAGTGGCCGTGGTGGCCCAGGTCGTGATGATCGTAACCGTGGTGGTCGTGATAACAGTGGCCACAGTGGATATGGACGAGATGATCGTGGCAATGGGGGTGGCTCTGGTGGTCGAGACCGCAGCCGTGATTGGCCGTGACAACCGCGGAAAATGAGACATGGAAATTAGTTCCTTTACCGATTGGTAGAAATGATATTCCTTGTCATTGGGTATTTAATATGAAATACCATTCAAATGGAAGTATTGAGCGATATAAAGCTAGACTAGTTGCTCAAGGAGGTCATCAATAGTTTGGAGTTGACTGTGATGAGGTGTATCCACCTGTTGCACGCTTTGAGTCTTTAAGGCTTATTTTAGCGATTGGTGTAATATTGAATCTGCATATTCATCAAATGGATGTGCAAACTGCATTCCTAAATGGAAATATGACGGAGGAAACTCGAATATATATGCGACAACCTCCAGGTTATGTAAGGTCAGGGAGGGAATCCTTTGTATGTGAGCTGTTAAAAAGCATATATGGGCTTAAGCAGGCACCAAGGATTTGGTACACAATGTTGCATGAGTTTTTGACATCAATGGGATTTACTCGGTGCTACAAAGAGTACTGTATATATGTCAAAAAGGTGGGAGATGATACGATTGTTATCGTAGTTTATGTGATGACCTAACGATAATGACCAAGTACATTGAGAACATGATTCATGTTAAAGAGGAATTAGGCAAAAGGTTTAAGATGAAAGACTTGGGTGAAATAAACTACATCCTCAAAATGGAAGTGTCTCGAGATATGTCAGCGAAAACAATGAAAATATCGCAAAGAAAGTACATTCGAGATTTACTAAGCAAGTATGATATGGAAAATTGTATGACAGCGTCGACACCCTAAATAGTGGGAGCTGTTTTACTACCAGAAAGGACCTTGACACCAGCAGAGATTGCGAAACAACCATATGATTATAGGGGAATTGTTGGTTCGTTACAGTACTTAGTCAGAGGTACTGTACTAGGCCTAACAATGCAAATACTGTACGAGAACTAAGCAGATTCTTGTCGTGTTATAATGCAACACACTGGGAA